ACAAAAGTATTTAGATTGCCTTAATGGTAAGTCTCGTACGATGAACTCAAATTTGTAGCTGATCTCAAAAACAACCTTTAGTCTATTGTTCACCGGGCATGAGATGGTTGCCACCATTTTGACGCCTTCGAAACGAAACTAATCTTCATTCATCCGATAAGAGAACATTTTTGTCTTCTGTTATACCCCGAGCGATGAGGTGGACTCGCCCACACGTTTATACGTGTAAAATAAAAACTAACTTTAAATAAACATTTTTTTCATAATGTTTTAGGTCTGTTTTTTTTAAATAAATACCATTAATCCTTGTTTATTTAAAATATCAAATAAAATATTATCCCCGTTTATTTTATATATATATATATAAAGTCTATTTTAAATGCAATATATATTTTTAAAATAAAAAATAACATAATTCCCGTATAATATATGGACTACGCGAGCATTGCGTTAACTGGAGATTTTTGTTAAAATTTAAATTATGTAACGGTCTGTCTCTATCCAGCACCTACACGGAACCGTCATACCACACAGCTATATATATATATATATATATATATATATATATATATATATATATATATATATATATAGATTGTTGTCAATGTTTACGTTAAGCTACGTTTTGTGAGCAGATATGATTGTTCGGGAATAATCGTCGAAGATTTTCTTGTTTATAAACAGTAATTCGGTTTTTGCTAACCAGACGCTTCTCTATCGCTGAGCAGTATAGCACGTCAGATAAAATGACGGTTCCGTATAGGACACAGGTTCGATTCCTGTTGGAGAACGCGTATTTTCTACGAAATTTCTCGATCATTCGGGCTGGTTATTGTAATTAATACTGTTTAATAAAAATAAAAATAAAAACAACAAAAAACAGCATTTACTTAGTGTCAATTAAAATAATGTATAAACAGAAAATATATTAAATAATTGTTGGATTTAATCCATTTCATAACATGTTGTCAATGTTTACGTTAATGTACGTTTCGTGATCAGATATGATCGTTCGGGAAAGATTGACGAACATTTGTTGTTTAAAAACAGTAATTTGGACTTTGCTAACCAGACGCTTCTCCATAGGTAAGTGGTATAGCACATCAGATCAGATGACGGACATTCAGGATGGTAAATATAATTAATACTGGTAATTTAAAAAAAACAGCATTTACTCAAATAAATCAGATCTATTAAAATAACGTATAAACAATAAATGTATATATATATATATATATATATATATATATATATCATTCGCAGACAGTACTGTTTCGCTGTATCACAGCTCCTCAGTGCGACTAATCAATCAAATTGGTGACATTCATTATTAAGATATATATATATATATATATATATATATATATATATATATCTTAGTAATGAATGTTATCCATCAATGCTACTTTTTATTTACACTATAAATAACATTCAAGAGGATCCAATTTAATATTTTCTGTTTACATTTTATGCGCTTTAGTTGTTTTCAATTAAGCCATGTTAATGTGCATTGTGGTGTAACGGAATTCGAACTCGGGGAGCCGAGATCGGATTCCACTCGGGTTCGTTTCATTCACTCACTCACAACTACACTTGGGAAAGATATGAATCCCTTTCTCTCCCCCCCTCCCGAGCTATGGGTTGAATAGCAGGACAGACTGGATCCCATAGCTTTGGTTGGCAGCCAGTCTAACGCAGAAACTAACGGCAACTTACCCCGGGAAAATCTAGTTAGTAATAAATAAAAAGAAATATGATCGCTCAAGCGTGTATCACGTATGTTGCTTAACTGACTTGAATCAACCCACAATCGAAGAAGCTTCTTTTTGAACTTGCTTCATTGCATCAGCATTTGATGGTAAATTAATAATCATTTTTCAGCGTTGTTCATTGAAACATTTATATTTTAAACCAGTGAGTCGTAAATGACTCATACTAAAATATTTGTTTACGAATTAGATTTGATTACCGTTTACTGAAGACACGGTTCGGGAGATAGACGAATTGCAAATAGTTGACTAAATTTGAGTAAACCTTCTTCTTTTTCTTCTTCTATGTGCCGTTGACGACCATGGCTCTCCCTAGTTTTCTATCACTTGTCGATCTTAATAACTGTTGTCATATTTTAACATCGCTCTCAACCCCGTTTTACCATCCGGTTACACAATCGGGTCTTCGTCCATTTTTATCTTTGATGTGTCTTGTTAGTGTCCAATTCTCCGAGTCCCCCCTCCTCATTATGCGTTTCAGAAATAGCAGCTGCTTCTATCTGATTCTGATTGTGTCTTTTTTGTTTCCATTTTCCTTAAGTCGTCTTCGTTGTTCACTCGCTCCGTCCGTTGAATTCTCATCATCCTTCTGTAGAACTATATTTCTGTTGCTTCTAGTTTTCTCTACATCTATGAAGAGATTTCCATCATATAAAAAGTTTAATATCTGTCTATGTTTCTGAGATAAAGTATTGTTACTATTTATACCATTTACATTGTTCGGACTGCTATCCTCATCTTTATTGCCATATTCACGACGTTTCGGCCATTGTATGCTTCGGCCTTCTTCAGAATCTGTCTACATGTGGTATTGTAACTATATACATTGTTTGGTCTGTTGTCCTCGTCTTTATTATCATATTCACGACATTTTCGGTCGCCGTACGCTTCGGCCTTCTTCAGGAGATATACGTTGGAATTTCGATTAAACCCTTTATTTAGTCCACTGGGGTTCATTGTTCTCGTTCCACGTGCCTTACCTTTTCTGGATATCTCAGTTTCAGTTATTTCCCCAGTGGATAAAAGCATTGATCCAGTAACTTGAGCCAAACGGTTGTAGGTTCAATATCTGGTCAGAGCAGATGTGAACAAAAACTTGGAGGATTGAGTTACTAAAAGAGAGCTGGCTGAAAACTGAGATATCAAGGAAAAGGCATGGCACGTGGAACTAAAACAATCTACCCCGATGGACGAAAATAATTCGGTTCGAAACTCTAACGTATATCACTTGAAGAAGTCGAGAGAGTATGTCGGCCAAAATGTCGAAAATATAACAATGAAGATGAGGTCAATAGCGCGAACAATGTAAATGGTGTAAATAGGAGGTTTGATATTACATAGCAGTTCAGCATTTTGTGTGTGTGTGTGTGTGTGTGTGTGTGTGTGTGTGTGTGTGTGTGTGTGTGTGTGTGTGTGTGTATTTCTAACGCTATTTTTGTTTCTTAATGCTTAGCTTTTGGAAAACATCTTTCGCTATTTTGAGCGTCACACTTTTCGTCCTCTGTTAAACCCCTTTCCAGATATTTAAATTGTTATACTCATATGTATTCTAGTAACAGGACATTTAAATACAGCATCAAATGATGAATATTTTCACCTCTTAATATATTGTAATGCATCTTTTTCTTTTTTTCCAATGTGCGTTTGGATTTAACATTTTCTGTTAAAACAATTCTGTACTTGTTTGATGTTGATTAATCGAGCAGAATTTGCAAAATCTTTTCACAATATTTAAACAAGTACATATTGGGCCTGATTGGACAATCAAATCGTGATAATTGAACTATAGTTCTAATTTTAAGCACCTCGGCGTGGTGTAATGGTTAGCAAGCTTGTCTCGCTAGATCATTTACGACTGAAAAGTGAGTTCGATCCTCACTAGGTGTTCCATACTTTTGGCCTTGTGCCACATCTAAGCTACGCTTAGAAAATAACTATAGTTCCAACTTTATCATAATTGTAATTAAGTTGTTGAATATTATTGCTAATTAGAAGCCCGTTACGTCTTCAATAAGCAATTATCTTCAACCTGTTGCACAATGTAAGATATTTAAATTATTATTTGTTATTTATCAGATTAAGTTTTCTTTAAATTTATTCTTCGTCACTCTAATTATCAGCACTCTACATGTGTTTATCAATTTCATTTAGTTAAATGTTTTATTTAAGTCCATGTCTTCTATCAGAATCAGTGAAAGTTAGCCAAGACTAAAATTTATTTAATTTATAGATAAAATAATGGCCTTGGCCTTTTTAACTTGAATTTAGTCGAATACAAAGTTAAGGCTTACGGACACATCACATGGAAACAGTGGTTCCGAACGACCTCTGAAATTAAGCAACGTCGAACCTGGTCAGTAACAAGATGGGAATATCAGGTGTTGTGAACTTGGATGTGCAGGTGGTGTAATGGATAATAGAATAGAACTGTTAATCGGAGAGATGAGTTCCAGTTTCCATTGGTTTCGTTATAGTCACTTACCAGTAAATACCAGTGCAAATAGTAGGAATCCACCTGTTCTCTCCCCCAACTATGGGTTAATTATTAAGGTTTGTATCACTAAATAATTATCTTTAAAAAAAGATTCTTACGATATAAAATTTTCTGTCCTTAAATAACCTGCAAAGGGTTGATAAGCCGTAAAAAACGAATCAATCAATAAATCAAGCATAATGATTAGCCACATAAGGATATCTTTTAGATTTATTTACAATTTTTTTATTTATCGAAATGAAATAATGGCCTTTTTAAGTTGAATTTAGTCAAATAAAAAGTCATGGTTTAATGCCACATCACATTTTTTTGTTTATATATATATATATATATATATATATATATATATATATATAGACGTCTAACCACTTTGCAAATATTTTAAAAAATTGTTGGAATTAAGAATGAAAATCCATTTTGAGGAAAAAAGAGGTTTTACTAGTGTTTCTCAGGACCACGATGTTGAATGGTCTGTTAGTTGATTTCATTCAGCAGCATATCAATACCTCTATGGGTTATTTAATGCCGAAATCTAAATATTTGTAATCATTTTTTTTCTTTTTAGATAATAATGGTTTAGTGATACAATTTTCCTAATTAACTCATAACTGGCCAAGAGGAGGTGCACTCAAACCATTCCCAAGAGTAATGGCGTGTAAGTGAATATAAAAAACCCAAGTGGAATTAGAACTCGGCTCCCCGATGAACAATTCCGTGCCATTATCCATCATATAAGTTTACAGCACCTGATATTCCCAAACGGTTACCCATCTAGGTACTGGCCTTGCTCGACGTTGCTTAACTTCGGTGATCATATGGGAACCTGAGTTTCATCGTTATGTGCCCGTAAGCCCTAGGCACTGACTAAAATAATGATGCAATCCCGTCACAATATTTTGACACAGGGCGTCATTCAAAAATCGGATCAGCAAACTGAACTACTTACGACATAATCGACTGTTAATTGCCATAGGTTGAAATACCATTGCTTACTGAAAGTGTATTTCGCACAATAAGAGGTGAGGTTGCATTATTTAAATTATTTCTTGTTATTCTGAGGTTTTCTTTGAGTTCATTCTTCGACATCGCCCTCAAAGTTGACTGTTTTCATTAAATCAAATTAATCGCTCTGATTTAATATTGAGTTCTCCGGATTTCATCCTAATTGGGATTATCCATATAAATTATGAAAGATTTTCATTATATATATATATATATATATATATATATATATATATATATATATATATATATAATGGACCCTCCAGTCGGTTTCGACGTATGAGGATCTGACAGCTTATTGATCCAGTTATGTGCGATAATCTTAAATGGCATTTAAGACCCGCTAGCGATTTACAAAAGGAGGCCACATATGGAGTAAGTGTGAGGATTGTGAGATGAGATCACTGTTAGATTAGCTGACCTTTTAGATCTTGCTCTCGCTTCTTGAAGATGATTCTGACAAGCAGATTGAAAATTGCTGAGTCCACTAAAACACGTTGATCTCCATTCTACCCACTCCAAGGCTAAGCGCTCAAGGATGTTATGTGGTATATTGACTGCTAACAAATATATATATATATATATATATATATATATCGAAAGTAGGCTATTCAAATTAATTGGCCTCTGCTGTAAATACAAGTAAATACCATTCACCATTAAGTAGTTTGATTCGTGAATTCGGTTGATTTTTATTGTAGCTTGCATCAAACTTTGAAGTTATCTATATTTATTCTTAGTACCATTGATAAATATTGCATTGCAGGACCACTCAACACCGAGAAAGTCAAATCACAGGACCGGCTTCTCAGTTTTGCAGTTTGGTGCTTGTATGGAATGTCAGGTCGAAGGACCCACATTGATCAGTTTTGCAAGCGGTTAACTTAAATTACACAACTAACTTGCCACAGTTGGAGCCAAAGAAAAATTGTAAAGTCACTTGAGTCAGTTTTGAATTGATTTGAAACAGAACTGAAAGACCGGCTCTTGTCACGTCATTTTGAGTATAAAGAAAGATAAATCAGGAAAACCGCTTGAGTTTTCGGAATCCACTTGACACTTTTTGGGAGTGGTAGCCAATCAAATCACAAAAACCGTTTCCTATATTGGCAACGCGAAATTGTAGATCGCAGTAGATACCTGTGTCCATCGAAATTTTCTCTGCGTTTCCGTATTGATCAATATCTTCAAAAATATTTGCAATCACATTTTTTTTTATTTTTATCACTTCTCAAATAAAACCGCGATCCGGTATATGAATCATTATCGTTTTTTTAATTACATCAATGACTGTTTTGAAAATATTATTTAAAACTTATTCTTTCTGTTTATGACCTTGTTTCTCAAAGTTCACTGTAACAAATTGTAGTTTTCGTTTATTGTGCTTTTGCTCTCATTGATATTAAAAAATGAAAGTAAAAAAAAAAAACTTATCTTAATAGGCATTACTAAATTATCCAATAAATATACACATGTTTATTACCTGAACTGGTTTTTAATGAAATTATATTGAGTCATAACCAAAGTATTCCGTATTTCAGACAGAAATAAAAACATTGTTTAGTCGTTTTGCTGCTGAAAGAAAAATACAGCAAAAGTTCACCTTAACCTCGCTTTCAGTAATCGGTTGCCAATCCTATGACTCAAAAATTCATGTTCTATCTTTTAAAGCATTTTTAAACATGTGGCGTCTAAACACGGGATTCAAATTAATTCGTAACTGAAATTTGTTAAGTATATGCATATTCTGAAAGGTGATATTTCAATGTCTCTTCCTATATGATTCGTGTGAGAATTGTAAATTATAATTATTTTTGCGTCAAAGGAGAAAGATAAGAAAAAAATCAGCAAAAACAGATATGTGCCGTTTATGGAGATGGTGCCATAGCTGAAACTAATTTTCGTAAGTAGTTTGTGGTGTTCAATATTGGAAATTTTGATCTGGAAACACCTGACAAACTTGCAATCATTAATGGTGACCAAATCTAAACGCCGATTTAAAATAATCCCGGCCACCCGAACGGGATATCGCAGAGCTATGCCACATAATCTCATATGAGCGTTGTAATCCGTTTGAAAACACTTGGATCTGTGAATCACTATGATTTTTAAACGTCTCACAATTTGAAGGAAAAACATTTCTGTCTGTCATTCTCTGCTCAAACATAACAACACGACTCTCTTTTAAAGAATTATCACAGGCGATGAAATGTAGATGGTTTACAGCAATGTAAAGGTCCTGGGGAAAAGGAAATGAGCTAGTCTGCATCCAACGAAGTTGATACTGAGTACCTGTTCAGATAGGAAGATCACTGTGTATGGCGAGCTTCTTCCGCAAAATAACACGTTGAATTCGGACAAGCTTACTATTTAGTTCTCTTGTATAATGCGCACCTTTAACATTTAATCTTAAAAATCTATTTTATGGCTCATTTTGTAATATTGTATAATCGTTATTGAAGTTTTATTTTCATATATGATCAGCTGTACTTGATTCCAAAGTATCTCAACAGATTACACCTTCCTGTTGTTCTTTAAGACTCAATGTTCGGAAGCGGTTTATGTATTTTATATACACTTCCACAACTGCAGGCTATGTTAAGCACACACTTTCTGGCTAAAATTATTAATATCTTTTATTTTTACACTATTTACATTGTTCGGACTGTTGTCCTCGTCTTCATTGTTATATTCACGACGTTTCGGCCGTTGTACCCTCCGGCCTTCTTCAGGGGATATAACCTGAAGAAGGCCGGAGTTTACAACAGCCGAAACGTCGTGTATATGACAATGAAGATGAAGACAACATTCCAAACAATGTAAAATCACAATACCTCATTTCAGAAATATAGACAGATATCTTTTATTTTTTTTAATCATTTCACCCTAGGCAAGGCGATAATGCCACTAAGGCGCAAGGTATTACAGGGAGTGAAAGACTTTAGTGAGTAGAAACGACAATAAAAGAACATGGTTCCAGAAGACAGAAGATGGCTATTGGCATTGCTTTTGATTTTTTTAAAGATTTTACGCAGCTGGGACTGGGGAATTGGAGAGCCGAGTTCGAATGACAGTCAAGTTGATTATATTCCTTTATGCGCAAAGATATGAATTCATTTTTCCCCAGAAATGGTTAAATAGCAAGAAATATTGGATCCTATAGCCTAGGATGGAAACAGATCTAGAAGAAGAAGAACTCTTAATTTAAAAGATCCAGATGTGTGTTAAATAGACTCACCAACCAGCAATTGGACAAAAGCATTGAATTAAGTTACATACACCCCTGAAGACATGGTTTCCCAAGCGTGGGAGCCCTGGGCCTTTTCTATTGAGCTCGTACGTTTTTCTGTTAATTTGACTTTATATTTGTACAAACAAGGTTTAGAGAGAATGGAAACAAAAACGAAACTTATACTTAACATCAGGAAAAGGCGATTGAAATTTCGGGGGCACGTCATGAGGAAGGAGGGCTTGGAAAACTTAATGCTCACAGAACAGATAAAAGGAAAGAGGGACTGAAGAAAGCACCGTAAGTAGTGAGACGGGCTTGAGTAAATGGATGGCAGAACGGCAGATGAGAGAAATAACAAAAACACAAAACTTAAGAGCTACAAGGGGCAGGAAGATGTGGAGGGTCATGATCGCCTATTTCCTGAAGAGACAAGGCAAATAACAGAAGACAGTTTGTACAAAATAAAGACGAGTTGCTTCTATTTTTTTTGATCTCTACAAACAGTTTAAGAAATCGAAAAATTTGTCCTCAAGGTCAAAACCTCGAGGTTCTTGATAAACTCCAGAGGCGGATATGCAATATAATTGGCCCTGTTCTGGCATCTCGTCTACAGTCACTTTCTCACAGACGTGCCGTCGCCTCTCTCTGTCTGTTTTACAAATACTTTCATGACAATTGCTCCGAGGAGCTGCATTCGCTAGTTCCCAGACTTCATGAATTCAAGCGCCCTACGAGGCTGGCATCTCGCTCTCACCCTTTCACTGCTGAAACTGTTAAATATAGTCGTCTCTTCTACTCCAATAGCTTCATGTCTCGCACCTCTCGCCTGTGGAACTCCCTTCCCTATTCCTGTTTCCCTGAGAGCTATAATCTCCAATTATTCAAACGTAATGTCAATCGACATCTCCAGTTGCCTTGATCTATCCACTATCCCTCTCCTCATCCTTTCTTCTATCACTCCTATCTGATCTTGCTCCAAATCTTCTGTAACCCCTTGCGTCCTAGTGGCTTCCCGCCTTGCTTGGGGTGAAACGCTTAAAAAAATGTCACAAACAGTAAGAAGAGATAAAATGTGTATAGATTAAGAAATCCTATTGAATGTTAAGAAGTACTGATCACAAAGTGTCTGGTCAAAAGAATTGTTCTTACCATTCGTGATATATTAACAATAAAACATCTCGACTTATCTAAGCAAATCCACACTGAAGATGAATACAGACTGTGAATACATGTAGTGAATATTAACAATGACTGATTTCCAAGTTGAGTTTAAATCAACAATGAAAATATACTTTAACAGACAGAGATGAACAGATACAGACATGAAGAGAATGCGATGCAGACAGACCTGATCAAAATGGCACATTAAAAGACAGACATGAATAGACTCAAATGCAGACAGTCATGTAAAGGCTCAAATACAAATGGATATGAACAGAATAGGACACTAACAGACAGGAATTAGACAAGAATAGAGTGAGACGAAAGCATGAACAGGTTCGAATCGATTCAAATACAGACAGACATAAACAAATATGGAGAGAGTCAGAGATAAACTTGAATAGACTGAAATATAAACAGGCATCAATAGAGATGAACAG